TACCCCTATAATGCAAATATTGTTCTGTTTGGATTTGTCACACAGTTCTCTCAATATTATTTCATTCTTAGAGATCCTTTTTTCTCTCTCTGCCTCAGCTTCTTTGTATTCCTCTTCTCTCATTTCTCTCATTTCTATTTCATTTATCATCTCCTCCACTTTATCTAGTCTGCTTTTAATATCCTCCATTGTGCTCTTCAATGATTGGATCTCTGACCGGTATTCATTCCTGAGTTCTTGGATATCTTTGCATACCTCCATGAGTATGTTAATGATTTTTATTTTGAACTCCCTTTAAGGAAGATTCATGTAGTCGATGTCATCTTTCTCAGGAGTTATAATTAGTTTTACTTTGAACCAAGTTCCTTTGGCATTTCATGTTTTTATATGGCACCCTCTAGTGTCCAGAAGCTCTACTCTCTGGAGCTCTCAGCCCCTGAAGCAATGTCGGGGTTGCAGGGGAGTGGTATTGGTGCCCGGTGGGAGGAAAGAGCTGTTTCCTGATTCCTGGCTGCTATGCCTGTCTCCACTGCGTGAACCAGTGGGCCCAGTACACAGGTATAAGCCTCTATGCTTTGCATTTGTAGTTGCTGTAGACAGATCTTCTCTCCTGCTGGCGTAACACCAGGGTAGGGTTTGCAGATTTGTGAACTGGCAGTAGGCTGCGTATCATGGAGGGGGTCCTTGGAGCTGTGTCGCCAGCCAGGGAGATAGAGCACCTAGAAATCATGAAAGCTTCCAACCCACTGGGCAGAGTGCACCTGGACAATTTTGTCTACCTGTCCTTTCTCCTGAGCAGTAAGCTCTGTGCAATCCTTGCCCCTTTTGCAGCCCTCTTGCTAAGGGCTTCCTTGTTAGGAGTTCTCTCAGACTGCCCACCTTTCTTTTATCCCAGAACAGCCAGATATGGATCCCTGCTTTCCACAAGCAGCTGAAATCTCAGTTTCTCCAGGAATTCCACTTGTATTAGCTTTCCAATCCCCAATCACGAGTGTATCATGAAAGCACCAGGAAATGTAGGTTTGTGCTCCCAGAGCAGATCTCTGGAGTTAGGTATGCAGCAGTCTCAGGCCTCTACCCCCTCCCTGCTCCATTTCTCTTCTCTGCCTGGTGAGCTGGGGTGAGGGAAGGGCTTGGGTCCCTCCAGGCCACAACTTTGGTACATTACTCTTTTCCATGAGGTCTTCTGTTTTCTCCAGGTTTATGCAGTCTGGCGCAGTCCTCTTTGCTGTTGCTCTTTCAGGATTAGTTGTATTGATTGAATTTTCATATTATATGCGGTTTTAGGAGGAAGCCTCTCTCAACTCTCACGCCACCATCTTTCAGCAATTATTTCTTCAAAGATACTCTCTGTCCCCTTCTCTCTCTTCTTTTTCTTCTGGTATCCCTATAGTGTGAATATTATTCTGTTTGGATTGGTCACACAGTTCTCTTAATAGTCTTTCATGCCTAGAGATCCTTTTATCTCTGTCTGCCTCAGCCTCTCTGTATTTCTATTCTCTGATTTTTATTCCATTAAATCTTGCACCTTGCACCTTGTCCAGTCTGCTCTTATGCCCTTCTATTGATTGTTTAATTTCTGTTACCTCCCCCTGGACATCACCCTTAGCTCTTGCATATTTCTCTGCAGTTCCATCATCATGGTTATGATTTTTATTTTGAATTATTTTTCTGGAAGATTGGTTAAATCTATCTCACCAGGCCCTCTCTCTGGGTTTGTCTGAATGATTTTTGACTGGACCAGATTCTTCTGCCTTTTCATGGTGATTGAAGTGGTCGTAGGCAGGTGGCACGTGTTTCAGCTGGGAGAACAAAGTCCCTTCCTGCTTGTTGGTTGCCTTGCCCTTCTCCACTGCCTGTGCCGTCTACCCGCACACCAGGAGGCAGCCTCTAGGATAATCTCCTGGGTTGCTATGGGTGGGGCTGCCCCCAGGCTAGCCTAGAGCACTGCTGGGGGTCGCAGCCACGTAGTTGCAGCCACTCCAGGTGTGTTCTCCTGTGAGAATGGTGCCCCTTCGTGTTGTCTGGACCTTACTCTGGCTTCTGCTGCCTGTGCCGGTTACCGGCACACTGGGAGGCAGTCTCTGGGATAATCGCCTGAGATGCTGTGGGTGGGCTGCCCTCGGGCTAGCCCAGAGCACTGTTGGGGTTTGCAGCTGCACCGGATGTGTTCTTCCGCAAGAACAGCACCCCTTCGTGTCGTCCGGACCTTGCTCTGGCCTCCGCTGCACACTGGGAGGAATCTGTATAGTTGCTGTGGGCAGGGCTGCTCTCTGGCTGCTTTGCTGCTGTGGCGGGTCAGCCGGTCCGCTTGCAGCACCAGTCAGAGGGGAACAAATGGCAGGCTGTTTATCACCGTGAGGGGCTTCAGGGCTGCTTTACTCCTCAGGGGGTTAGGGAACTGAAAGTTCCTCAAGATTACCAGCCTATTGGGCTGAGTGTGCTGGGACGGTTTTGTTCAGCTGTTGAGCCCTTGTCCCTTTAAGACTTTTAAAAAGTGCCAGCTTTATGGGCACCTCAAGCCTCGCGCCACGTCCCCGCCCCAGGCCGGTGCGGCCCTGGGTGTGGCCGGCAGTGTGATTGCGCTGGTCTCTGCAGGGAGCTGCACTTCGCACACAGGCTCCGCGTGCGAGCAGCCGCTGAGCGCCCTGAGGACCCAGGCTGCGCCTGGTCGGCACGGGCCGGAGCTCCCTCCAGTTGCTTTCCCTAGTTAATTTCTTTGGTAAACAAAATTGAAGGATGAGTGAACTGGAACAGTTGAGGCAGGAAGCTGAACAACTGCGGAATCAGATTCAGGATGCTAGGAAAGCGTGTAATGATGTGACACTTATTCAGATCACATCAAATATGGATTCCGTGGGTCGAATACAAATGCGAACAAGACGTACACTGAGAGGTCACCTAGCTAAAATCTATGCTATGCACTGGGGATATGATTCAAGGCTACTTGTCAGTGCTTCCCAAGATGGAAAATTAATTATTTGGGATAGCTATACAACAAATAAGATGCATGCTATTCCTTTGAGGTCCTCCTGGGTGATGACCTGTGCTTATGCTCCGTCTTGTGATTATGTTGCTTGTGGAGGACTGGACAACATCTGCTCTATATATAACTTAAAAACCAGAGAGGGAAACGTGAGAGTGAGCAGAGAGTTACCGGGTCACACGGGCTACTTGTCCTGCTGTCGTTTCTTAGATGACAGCCAAATTGTTACAAGTTCAGGAGATACAACTAGTGCATTATGAGACATTGAGACTGCTCAGCAGACCACCACATTCACCGGGCATTCTGGAGATGTGATGAGTCTTTCTCTGAGTCCTGACGTGAGGACTTTTGTTTCTGGTGCTTGTGATGCCTCTTCCAAATTATGGGATATTCGAGATGGAATATGTAGACAGTCTTTCACTGGACATGTGTCAGATATTAATGCTGTCATTTTTTTCCCTAATGGATATACCTTTGCCACTAGCTCTGATGACGCCAACTTCTCTTTTGTCCCAGGGGAGCCGGCTGCGGGGACCCGCTCTCAGTCTCCGTCTCAGACCATACCCTTCCACCACTCTAATATCCAGTTCACCACGCACTGTGTGTCTGCACTCCCCGTGTGGATGGCTAGGGCTGGCTATTTAGGGAGTGTCCCACTCCCTCCCCATTCTAACTCCTTTCCTCCCACCAGTGAGCTGGGGTGGGGGCAGCGCTCGGGTCCTGTCAGGTCACAGCTTTGTATCTTACCCCCTTTGTGAGATGCTAAGTTCTTGCAGATGTGGATGTAGCCTGGCTGTTGTACTGTATCCTGTGGTCTCTCTTTTAGGAATAGTTGTATTTTCAAAAATATATATGGTTTTTGGAAGAGATTTCCACTGCCCTACTCACAACCCCTTCTTGAGCTCCTAGGGTACAGTTTTGACACACAGAAGACTTAGAATGAGGTGAAGCTCAGCCCTGATTGTAGGGACTGATCAAAAACCATACTGTCCCTCCCCTCATTACCATGCAGCTACCCACCCACTCTTCTCCAAAGGACAGAATCAAAAGCCCCTGTACCTGGATCTGTGGAGCTAGCTACATGTTACCAAGCTCTCCAGAGGATTTTATCATCTAGCAAGTGTATAAAGGAAATACAAGAATCTACAAATGTAGATCTGCTCAGATCTCCCTGGGCTCAAAAACCTTCCGAGGCTCCCCACACTTTAAACTAAGCCCCAGCTCATGAGCGTGGCATTCTAGACATCAGGGCTCTTGCACAGACCTATTTCCCACCTTTACCCTCACTCGCCACCCCTGGAGCAGCTCCCCACAGGTCCTGGTGCCTTTGGAGCAGGCAACCTTATTCTTACTACTCTGATGACTTGGTGAAATCTTTCCCAACATGTAAAGCCCCACTCTGATGCTCCACCTCCAGGATGTTCATGCTTTCCTTGTTGATCTGTGTCTCATGTAACTTTGTCTCTTCAATGGATTAGAAAGCACATTTCCTTAAAGATTGATTTCATTACCCTTTGGAGCCTAACTCTCCACTTTGACTGGTCACACAAACCTAATTCTTTGTCCTAAGAATGAACTCTGAAAATGTCTGAACCCTTGGTTAATCTTGCACATGAAATACTGGTTAAGGTCTGGAATGCAAAATCTCAGTGACAAAGGGGTCCCATACCTCATTCTCCAAGGGGCAGATGATGTACAAAGTAAGGCTGTAGATAAATTGACCCTGGACCAGCCAATGAATGTTTCCTTTCTTCTTTTTCTCCCACCCCATCCCTCCCTCTTTCTCTGCCTTCTTTTTTTTTTTTTTTTATGTGGAATGCTAAGGCTTCTTCTTTTTTTCTTACATTTTTTAAATTAAGGTATCATAGATATACACTCTTATGAAGGTTTCACATGAAAAACATTGTGGTTACTACATTCACCCATGTTATCAAGTCCCCCCTATGCCCCATTGCAGTCACTGTCCATCAGTGCAGCAAGATGCCACAGATCCACTATGTGTCTTCTCTGTGCTACACTGTTCTCCCTGTGACCCCTGTACACCATGTGTACCAATCATAATACCCCTCAGTCCCCTTCTCCTTCCCTCCCCACCCGCCCTCCAACACCCCTCCCCTCTGGTAACCACTAGTCCCTTCTTGGAGTCTGTGAGTCTGCTGCTGTTTTGTTCCTTCAGTTTTGCTTCGTTGTTATACTCCACAAATGAGGGAAATCATTTGGTACTTGTCTTTCTCTGCCTGGCTTATTTCACTGAGCATAATGCCCTCCAGCTCCATCCATGTTGTTGCAAAAGTTGGGATTTGTTTCTTTCTTATTCTCTGCTTTCTTACTTCCTCATTCCTCCTTTCATTCTTCCCCCTTCCCACAGTCCACTCACCTTTTTCTATCTATATGTCTATATTTCTTTCCCTCATTCCACTTATCCACTCACCCTGCCCTCTTTCTTTCAACTATTCATCCTACTTTCCATCCAACCACCCATCCATCCATCCATCCATCCTTCTTTACTTCCATCTATCTACTCACCTTTCCTGACGGGCTCCCTTTTCTCACAGCCTCCCTTCATTTCTTTCCATTCTTCCTCATCCCTCCCATCTAGCCACTCATTCATTCATTTTTAGCATCTTTAGCACCAGACAGGGTTCAAACCACCCAAAATGGTTGAGCTTAAAGCAAGTGTGATAGGAAAAATCTTGTGTTGGGGTGGTGAAGAACCCTGATTTCTAATTCCCATTTCCTTTCCAGGAACCTAGTGTGAGCAATAGTGCTCACAAACTTTTATGGATTGCATGTGGTGGGCCAAGCATAGTGTTGGGAAAGAAAAAGATTTGGTCATTACTGTCAAGGATAGAGAATAACAGTACAGAAAAGAAACTACAGTATGAAAGACCCATAGTCTGGTGGCCTATAGGCTGAGGAAAGGTATCTTTTCCACTGGAGACAGCTGGAGAGGGTTTCCTGGAGAAGTAGATGCCTGGGTGGGTCTTGAAGGATGAGCATTTCTTGTGAGGACCAAATGAGATTGTTTGTAAAATATCAAATGTCACAAAGAAAAAATGATCTTTATTCTTAAGGTATCATGATGCTAAAAAACATTTAGACTAATAACAACTGGCCCACCTAGAAACAATATTTGCCAGAAGCACTCATAAACTCCTATGCAATTTTTAAGACCCAAAGACAAGTTTGCTAGGATTGAAGTCAGTCACTCACAGAGTCAATGAGGCAAAGTAGGAGAGTATTTCAGAGCATGAACTTTGGTATCAGGCCTGCCTAGGTCCAAGCCTGACTGACACTTGGTATCCATATGCTCATCTGTGGAATGGGATGACAATATAAGATTACATGAACTGTACGTGTCGGGGTTGGTGGCTCATGGTATATGCTCTGTAGATGCCTGCTACTGCTGTTCAGGGGAAAGGACTCAGAGGTCATCTGGCTCAAGCTGTTGTTAATCATGCTTTCCTTCTGAAAAGGGGTGTGTGTGTGTGTGTGTGTGTGTGTGTGTGTGTGTTTATCTGCCACCAAAGAACCAAATATGTAACCTTGGGGAAATCACTTGGCTTTTCTTGGCCTTTACCTTCCCTTTCAGTAAAATCTCTTCAGATTGTCATGACAAAAGCAAGATTAGTCCAGGGAAAGATCTTTGAAAATTGTGATATGCAAGTCTAAGCCACAAAGATATTTACCTTAGCATTGTTTAACCACGTGAAAGGAGAGAACTGGAAATAACAAAGATGCCAGAAAAGAATTGATGTTTGAAATGAATTATGAAATTTCCTTTCAATAAGATTGCAAACAGTGAACAGTTTAAGTCCCAACAGAACCAAGAATTTTTTCCTCCTGTTGCATGATGAATCAGCACCCAAAACAATGTCTGTCATATAAAAGTGTTTGGCATTTATTAATGAATGAGTAAATGCTGTAAATTACTTTCCAAAGTAATTTACATGCTTTCCTGAAGAATGCCACCTGACTATTGTTTTGCTATATATTGCTATGTGGTACGTACAAGTGGACTAGAAGAGCTAGTGGTGGCTTTTGAGAGGCTGTGTAAAAGGAACTGAGAGGTCAGACTACAGAGAGAAGTGAGGCGTTTGAGGGGGTTGGCTGGATGGTGAGCAATATAATTCTCTCCTCCACGGCCCACAAAGTCTTCAGTAAAACACACAGTGGCTGGCAGTGCTTTGGGGATTGGATGTGTTTTTGCAGGGTGAAGTAAAACACAGAGACTGGCCTTAATCAGTGATACAATACACATGGGTATTCAGTCACATCTGAGTGGTAATGCAGAAGAAAATTTTAATCATGTGGAAAGGTGTTCATGATATATTACTGAGGAAAATAATTGCATACAGGAGGGAATCTGCAACTGCAATCCCATTTTGGTTAAAATAAAAAAACATCTGTTCATATTGGAATGATGAGATTAAGAAATATGTTTTTCCTTTTCGATTATTCATGCTTTATATTTTCTTTCATGAACCTGTACAGCTTGTGAAATCATAAGTAATGTGAAATTTTCTATGCGTCTGAGCTGTCCTTCCTGTATTTGACTGATTGGAAAAGAACTGTTAGAGGTGAATTGACATTGTCAAGGTCAAGCTGAGACTGAGTGGCCCATCTATTCACAGCCAGTTCAGTGACCTTTCCCTTTGACTGGAAGGAAACATCTCCTCAGTAGTGTTTTAAGTGCTTTGGACACACAACATCTGAAAGATCTGATAGACTGGACTGTTCCCTCCCTGACTTGTGCACTTTTGGTATATTCCAGGGAAAAATAGTTGTCTACTTTGACTGGAAGGAAACATCTCCTCAGTAGTGTTTTAAGTGCTTTGGACACACAACATCTGAAAGATCTGATAGACTGGACTGTTCCCTCCCTGACTTGTGCACTTTTGGTATATTCCAGGGAAAAATAGTTGTCTAGGAGAGTGTCAGTGGCCGTAAGCCCATTCCTTCTTTTCCCATTTCAAAGTACACTCACCAAATTTTCTTTGTCTCTTCAGGGAGGTAACATGACTCTCAAGCTCCTTTGGGCAGAGAATCTTGTCAGCATGATGGGCTGTGAAACCTCCTGCAGACTGAGCCGGTTATAATCTGTGACTCATATCCACAGATAACAATTTTCTATAAAGGTGTCCGTTGAATGCAAGGGACACAGAGAGACAGAGAAAGAGGGGCAGCCAGGAAACATACCTAGAAGCATAAACATACAACCCTGAAACCGAAAGGGCCCTTCAAGATTGCCTGTCTCATCCTGGATGATCTGGGAAACTGAGGCTTGGATTGCACAGACCAGCAGTAACGCCAGGGCCACAGTCCACCTGGATTATGCTCCCTAAACATTTCTCCAGGCCATCCTTTCCAGCCCTTCCTCCCCACCCCAGTTGGTATCCTTTGAAGGTCTATGTCACAGAGGACGCTGTGAACCATGTTGAGGGATTTGGACTTTAATCTGGAGCAATGAAACACCATGGAAGAATTTTAAGTCAGGAGAGCAAGGGGGCCAGATCTGGATCTCAGGAGGTCCCTGAAACCCCTGTGTATAGACTGGATCCGAGGAAGTTAGAGTAGCCTCAGGGAGACCAGTGAGGTTGTACCTGGACCAAGGCTGGGGAATGGAGACAGGAATAAGTGGAGTATCTCCTTGACTCTTCAAGCCTGCATTGATCTCCTCCTTTGGCATTTATAGTTAGTATTACCCAATTTAATGCCTAGTTAATGGACTTATATTTGTTAGGATTTTTTAGGTGTGATTGCACAGAAACCTGACTTGAACTAGCTCAAGCTTAACATTATTGAGCAGTGTCAGGCACATGGTAGGTCTTCATAAATGATTGATGAACGAATAAATGAATGAATGACTCTGGACTCCTGGACCATTGTTCTTTCTACTACACATCAGGCAATACCGACCTTAAGCCTAAATTCCATAACAAGTACTCTAAAGGCCACCTATTCTGGGCTTGCACCCAAATCAGGAATCCCCTCAACAGCATGCCTGACAGATATCCATTTGGCCTGTCTTTGGAATTCCTTAGGGTCAGGATACTCACAACTTCAAAAAGCAATCC